TGTATTTATAAAAAAGTGAGGGTTTGCATGGTTAACTTTCCTTGTCTAGGGTCCCTGACTTATCAAATGGTGAACTGATATGGTCTAAAAAGCCATTTTAATAATGGCGCACCTTACTTTATAGGGCTAAAGATTGAACACAGGGCCTGTGCATAGACCACCAAGACAATTCCCCATCACCAGAATGCTTGAACAGTGTTGGTGTAACTGATGGTGGATTCAGTTACTGCCTTCTGACTGGCTGACAGACTCTCACCAGACATGGTCCAATCACACATGAGTGGAGTCATAAGATGGTCGCCTAGAATTTCTGGTCCAGACTGAAGCCTTCCTAAATAAATGTCCACAAGAGGGCCTTCAGAACTCCCATCAGCCAACCCATCTAACCTCACCCTCTTAAAAATGAGGTTTTCTGTATGTGCATGGGAGTGGAGGCAAGAGCACCAGTGAGGGTGGCAACCTCAGGCCCTGAGACTTGGTGACAAGCACCTCCAGGACCGGGCCCCCTGCCGGCCTAGTGTCCAGGCCATGGCTTCAGGTTTTGCATGTAGCCATGTGCCTGTGCAGCACTGGTTGGCCTTGAATACACCACCACCTTTCAATCATTCTTGGCACAGGAAAGATGGCTCCATGGGTCCAGGTGCATGTCATCCAGTGAGTGACCAGAGTGTGATCCTGCTTCAGGGCCCCAGACTGGGGAGAGAATAACTTCTGACTCCCACTTGTGTTGTATTTTGTGTGTGTGAAACCCACTCCCACTGTACACATGAACACAATCATGTTCTCCCAAGGATGGCTGGTCATCTTTGTACTGGTGCCTTATGCCTGGCAGTGAAATCCCCTTTGTCCCCAGCTGTCTTCACTTAGGACAGTCACAGGCCCAGCATACACACCCCACAACAACACAGATGAGACTCCTGGGAGACCCTGCGGCCCGTTTTACCCACTCAGAGGCAGCTGAGGGCTCTTACCGAGGCTTCTATTTTATATTTAGAACCGCTGGCGTGGGGGTCTTGTCTGTGGCCACCCTACAGATTACACTGGGATCCATACACTAGCTGGGAAGTGAGGTAACAAACAACGACTCAGCCAATCACATGATTACAAAGCTGGGGTTTCCAGCAGGGCTCCAGGTGGCCTAAGGAAGCGGTGGCATGGGAGGGACAAGCACTGGGCTGCCTTGAGCCTCGTTGATGACACCAGGGACAGGGTCTAAGCAGCAGGTGTTTCCAGGATCTCCACCCACTTTACTTGGCCAGGGGGTTCCTGAAGCATCTGCCAGCAAACTTGGCCTTGCTGCCCAGCTCTTCCTCGATTCTAAGGATCTGATGGTACTTGGCCAGATGCTCAGAACAGCAAGGGGCACCAGTCTTGATCTGCCCAGTGCAGAGCCCTACCACCAGGTCGGCAATGAAAGTGTCCTCCGTCTCCCCGGAGCGATGGGACACCATGATACTCCAGCCATTGGACTGAGCCAGCTTACACGCCTGCAGAGACTAGGTCACAGAGCCAATCTGGTTGACTTTGAGCAGGAGGCAGTTGCAGGACTTCTCACTGACAGCCTTGGCAATCCTCTTAGGGTTGGTTACTGTGAGATCATCCCCAACCACCTGGATGTCTGCACTAGCTGTGAAATTCTTCCAGGCCTCCCAGTCATCCTGGTCAAAGGGGTCCTCGATGAACACCACTGGATACTCCTGGATGAAGGACTTATACAGATCAGCCAGCTGCTCAGGCGTGATTACCTGCTGGGGTCATCAGGAGACTTGAAGCCCAGGTCATACTTGCCAGACCTGAAGAACTCAGAGGCAGCCACATCCATCCCGATGACAACCTGGTCCGTGTAGCCGGCCTTCCCGATTGCATTCTTCAGCAGCTCCAGAGCTTTGTTCTCCAGGATGTTGGGTGTAAACCCGCCCTTATCACCCACATTGGTGGCATCCTTCCCGTATTTCTCCTTGATGACATTCTTCAGGTTGTGGTAAACCTCTGCCCCAATGCGCATGGCTTCCCGGAAGGTGGACGCCCCCAAGGGAAGGATCCTGCAGGGCCAGCTTGCTGCCAGCGTAGGAACCACCATTGATCACGTTGAAAGCAGGGACGGGCAGAATAACTTCAGGGTTGCCAGCCAAAGTCAGCGATGTGACAGTACAGGGGTACCCCCTTTTCTGCGGCACCAGCTTTGCAGACTGCCAGGGAAACTCCCAGGATGCATTTGCACCAAATTTAGATTTATTCTCAGTGCCGTCCATCTCAATCATGAGATCTTCTCTTGCTCCACAACGTTCAGTTTCTTGCTAACCAGAGCAGATCTGATAGTTTTATTGATGCACTCAACAGCCTTTGAGACAACCTTCCCCATGTAGCAAGTCTTCTCATTGTCGCAGAGTTCTAGGGCCTCGTAGATGCCAGTGGAGGCACCGCTGGGCACAGCCGCTCAGAAGAGACCTTTTAAGGTGTAGAGATCAACTTCAACAGTGGGGTTCCCACGTGAAACAAAGATCTCTCGGGCAAGGATCTTGAGAATAGACATTTTCTGGCACTCGGGTGGGCAAGCAGGGAAAGAACAGAAGTACCTATACACACCCTGGAGAGCATTTAGCCTATGAATCATAGTTTTACAGTACATTTGCTAGTCTGTATCTGACCAGCTATTGGTTCTAGGACCTCCTGCTAGATAGCAGAATCTCAAGATGCTCAAGTCCCTTATATCAAAGGTCCCAGAATTTGTGTATGACCCAAGCTCACCATTCTGTATACATTAAAAAAAAAAAAATTAAAGGCCAACAATGTAACAAATCTGAATGTTTCTGGAAGTTCATGCAGGCTGTGTGACCTTACTTCAGCCTTAACAATGAACACACAACACAGCTCATTCTCTGTGCCAAGCGTGCCCTCACACGATGGAGTGCCTGTAAGCATGGATTCAGACACCTCAACTCAGATTGTGAACTTTCTTTTTTAAATAAAATCAATCTTTTCTAATTAAATCACACATACACAACACACACACACACACACACACACACACACACACACAAAGAGCTGGTTTAAGGAAATCACTCAAGCACATACCCACCACCAAACTATGCATCTCAGTGAAACTTCTACAGAGTTAGAGCGGCCATTCCAAAGCCACAGAGTTTAGGGTTTTATACTTCCACTATTAATTACATGCTTATTTACTTAATAAAAATTAAGAATGAATTTTAGGTCTAGAAAGCTGTTTGCAACACAAGCACCTTGGTGGAATTCGCTTATACATCTCCCTCTATGTGTGTATTGACGTAGTTCAACAGTCTTTCACATTAGAAAGTTTCCTTTAAAAGAGTCAAGTTTAAAGAGACTATTGTATGTTATGAACTGAGGGGTTTTTACCGTACATACAAAGCTTTCTGTTCTTGTAGAAACATAATGGCTCGATTATGAAAACAAAGACTTTTAATGTCTTCTTGCCACTATCCCTCAGCACAGAAGTAGCAAATTAGTATCTTGTATTGTGCTGGAATTTTGTTTTAAATTTGTTTGAATTGCTTGCTTTTCATTCTTTTTTTTTAATTGTTAAAAATTTTTTGACAGGAATAGAACACGATTTTCAAGTTTTCCTTAAATTGCCCTAAACACATTCCCTTGTTTTATTTGGTACATTGATGCAAAGTAGCCTTCACAGCATTGAAGATTATAAAGTCAAAGTAGTCCTGAGAGTCAGAAGCAGGAGGGTCACGGGTTCGACACCAGCCTGCCCTGCTTCATAAGTTTCAAGCATCCTAGGCTGTGTGAGATCCTATCTGAAAATAAAATACCAATCAACTGGAAATGTTAGGATGTTCAATGCCCTGCAATGTCAAACATTCAGCCATCCAGTTTTAATCGTTAACATACACAAAGAACCTCTTTGAAATGAGGTTTTTGATTCCTCAACAACAGATGCTTGACTTGTATACCTACTTTACGTGCCCGTGTGCCAGGCCACATAAAACTTTCTCAGGTGGAAATGGATAACCGGTGGGAAGTTTAAGAAGCCCTGACTTAGGGAAGTAATGGCCAGGAGGGAAATTCATACAGGCTGGAGACAGACGTCACTGCCCCAAACACTCTCTACCCGACACTGATGAATCTGCCTGACTGGGTCCTATAGAAATGGAACCAGAGTATGTAGGTGTTGAGGTAAAAAGAACCAAGTAGATGGCCACAAGTGAAGGCTTCCTTTCCAAGAAGGGCAGTGTGGACAACACGTGACAGCATATAAGTCTTAAGACTCCAATACTCTTACCTCTTTTAAATACTTCATACATAAGGGAAAAAACACTCCCATTAGTGTGTATGGGGACAACACACCCCCACCAAGTCAGGTGCTGACACAGTAACATCAGGGCCCAAATCCAGCAGGGAAGCCAAGATCAGCTCCAGCTGAAGGTCTTTATTTACTTAATCTTTTCCTCAACTCCCCCTCTTTATAAGCACTCCAAAGAACGGGTATTTAACCCTGAAACAGAACTTCACTAGCCAGGACATTTTAGGAGTGAATGGAGGTGAAGATCGGCTTTAAGGGATTCTCACACCCATGAAGTCACATCAGGGAAGCATCTCTCCATTGTGCTTTTCCTAATGTTGGCAGACACAACTGGTGGTAGTCATGGAGACAAGCCTGACGTTCAGATCAAGCTGCACTCCAAAGTCAGAGTTCAGCTGAGAACCATTCTCTCTCTCTAAATATGTATACTTTATTTTAGTGTGTGTGTGTGTGTGTGTGTGTGTGTGTGTGAGTGTGTGTGTGTGTGAGTGTGTGTGTGATGTGTGTGAGTGTGTTTGATTGTGTGTGGTGTGTGGTATGATGTGTATGTGTGAGTGTGGCGTGTGTGTGTGTGTGTGTGTGTGTGTGTGTGTGAGTGTGTGTGTGGTGTGTGTGGTATATGTATGGTGTGTGTGTTTATGTGGTGTGTGTGTGATATGTGTATGGTGTGTACGTGAGTGTGAGTGTTTATGGTGTGTATGGTGTGTACGTGAGTGTGAGTGTTTATGTGGTGTGTGTGTACGAGTATGTGTGTGTGGTGTGTGTATGAGTGTGTGTGGTGTGTGTGTGTGTGTGATGTGTGTGAGTGTGTGTGAATGTGTGTGGTGTGTGGTATGATGTGTAAGTGTGTGAGTGTGTGTGTGTGTGGTGTATGTGAGTGTGTGTGGTATGTGTATGGTGTGTGTGTTTATGTGGTGTGTGTGTGATATGTGTATGGGCTGTGTGTTTATGTGGTGTGTGCGGGGTGTGTGTGTGGTGTGTGTATGGTGTGTGTGTGGTGTGTGTATGTGAATGTGTGTGTGTGTGCGAGTGTGTGTATGTGAATGTGTGTGTGTACGAGTGTGTGTGTGTGTGTGTGTGTGTGTGTGTGTGTGTGTATGTGTGTTTACTGCCCAATTGGGTACCTAAGGAGTCCTCTGCAACAGTAGCAGTCTTCCCCAAGGCGACTTCTCTGCAACCCCAATAAACCGCTTTCAGAGTGACCTTCTAGAAATCCCAGCTGGTAGGTGCTTCTGAGAATAGAGGCAGGACCCAGTAGATGTATGACAGTGGGCAGAACAATGTTAACTTCCCTTTTTAACCCTGAAACAGAACTTCGCTGGCCAGGACATTTTAGGCGTGAATGGAGATAGAGATCGGCTTTAAGGGATTCTCACACTCATGTTCTCAGCGCCCACTTTGAAACATCTAAAATGTAAACGGGGCCACAAGACTGTTAAGCACTGCCTGAACCTGCTCCAGAGGAATTCCCTCTGCATTAATGAAGAGCAGTGAGTATCCAATGTGGCCCTCAGCACAAAGCTCCGATTGATAATCTGACTGAATACATAAAAACATTGATAAACACTAACCATTAGGTTTTTGAGTTTTCATCATAGGCTCTGTTTCCCTGAGTCAAAGATGGTCTTTGTTAGGTAGTCTTAATGGAATGTGATGGACTTTAGTCACTTCCTCAGAAACAGACCTAGACTATAAATACAAACTCAGCAACAGTCAGCCACTCACAGAAAGGCTCACTGGCAACTTTAATTTAAAAACAAGAGCTTGTTATTAAACTGAAAAATAAGAAGTAAGAGATCCAAACCCATATAAACAACATGCCTAAAAGAAAAACCCTCAGTGCACCAACAGGCACAATCACAAACAGCTTCTTGTTTGCCTCACCAGCCCTTTCTACATGGAGATGACAGAAGAAAACAGTCTGCATTTGTGCTTCTCGAATAAAACAAGCCCCGATCCCTTCCACAGCCTCAGGTTCAAATCCTAAGAAAAAGCTCCAAGCCCGTAAATAAGTGATGTCTGTGTCACCCTCAAAAGAACACACTCATGACTGTTGTGGAGACAGCCACATGCTAGGTGACAGCTAGGAGGTGAAGCTCCAGGTGTGGGTGGACTCACACATGGCTAAAGTGGCCAGGGCAAGGGTCTGCACATAACCAAACATGGCTTGCCACTTATTTTGGTAAATAAAATTTTGCTTGGAATACAATTATGCCCATGTGTCTACATACTGTCCATACCTGCAAGATGAAATGCCAGAAGTGAATAAAACCAACAGAGAGTATAAGACCGACAGAATATATGCCGTGTAGTATCTGGTCCTTTAAGAAAAAGTTTGCCCTCCTCGAATAAGAAACACAGATCCTAGTTCAGTGACACTAACCAGTATCTACTGAACCTGTTTACTAACCTTTGACTGCTTTATTGACATCATTTATGATACATTAATTAACAATGTTTACTGAGGAAATGGATACCAGATACTGAGAGCTTTTATCTTTAGTAAATAAACAAAAAACTAGTCAGTTTAATTCAGACAAAAACTTCCTGTGGGAAATAAACTAGACAAAGAACTAAGGCAAGGGAATTAAGTAACCTGCCCAAGATTGAGTTGTGAATGACTCATGATCAGAACCCAGGTAGCCGAGCTGCACAGCTCATACTTTTAATCTCTATTCTATAATGACATTAATCTAATGTTAGACAAGCCATATAAAATACAATCAAATCTCAAAAGGCTTGTTAGTTCTGTATTATATCAATACAATTAAGTGTCCCTCTTAATTGGACAAGGTATCTAAAATAATATAAATGGGACTTCCCTGCAGGCTTAAGTCCTTTCTGATGCTATAGTTGGACCTAATCTTAGGGGATTAGGAACATAAAAGTGACCATATTCTTTACTGCGTAAGTAGTCAAGAATCAAGTTAAATGACCAACATCAGTCGTAGCAATGCAAGCTCTCTCTCCAGAGAGCCTAGATATTTTCCAGATTTGTACCTAACTGGTCTCATCATTTCCACAAGGCCTCCACCTGGGAGAGGTGGAGCACACACTGACAGACACCACCAAAACCGTTCCTCCGGCCTAGCAGGAAGGGCTCTATGCTGCCAAAGCCACCCATCCGTGCACAGGAAAAGTCCCCTTGCTGAATCATCTCCACACTTCCTGCCTTCTCTGGGATTTCTGGAGGAAATGTGTCACCTCCATGTGACCTAGTGCCCTTCTGTACTGAAAAGAGGTTGATAAGGCTC